AGTGATGATAGTGATGATAGTGATGATAGTGATGATAGTGATGATAGTGATGATAGTGATGATAGTGATGATAGTGATGATAGTGATGATAGTGATGATAGTGATAATAGTAATGATAGTGATGATAGTGATGATGGTGTAACCAGTAGGTGGGTAGTAGTGATGAGGGTGTGGCGGGTGTCTGTAGGGTAGATAGTGATGAAGATAATGATAGTAGATGGGTTAGGGTGATTAGGATGTGAAGGGTAGGCGTCTGATGAGGGAAAGCTGGTAGATCAGAGCTGGTAGATCAGAGCTGGTAGATCAGAGCTGGTAGATCAGAGCTGGTAGATCAGAACTGGGAGATCAGAGCTGGTAGATCAGAGCTGGTAGATCAGAGCTGGTAGATCAGAGCTGGTAGATCAGAGCTGGTAGATCAGAACTGGGAGATCAGAGCTGGTAGATCAGAGCTGGTAGATCAGAGCTGGGAGATGAAGGTATAGGTCAGAATTAGGCAATTGGATGTAAATTATTCCAAGGCATGAAAGTAGATGAGCTATCGTTAAATAATGTATATAAAATAGGTGAACGGTAGACGATTAGTAGATCAGTGTGTGATCAGTAGATGAACTATAGGCGAGCAGTAGATGAGCAGTAGACGAGCAGTAGATGAGCAGTAGACGAGCAGTAGATGAGCAGTAGACGAGCAGTAGATGAGCAGTAGATGAGCAGTAGATGAGCAGTAGATGAGCAGTAGATGAGCAGTAGACGAGTAGATGGTTATCACGCCGCCACACAGGCCCCGGCTGACACTGAACATAATTCCATTACATGTCAGTTATTTTGCAGTTACCCCAGAGCGCCATTGAGTTAGGGTGGCGGTAATTAGGTTAAATAGGGGACCCTACCCCTCTACCCTCACCCCTCTACCATCACCCCTCTACCATCACCCCTCTACCATCACCCCTCTACCATCACCCCTCTACCATCACCCCTCTACCATCACCCCTCTACCATCACCCCTCTACCATCACCCCTCTACCATCACCCCTCTACCATCACCCCTCTACCATCACCCCTCTACCATCACCCCTCTACCATCACCCCTCTACCATCACCCCTCTACCATCACCCCTCTACCATCACCCCTCTACCATCACCCCTCTACCATCACCCCTCTACCATCACCCCTCTACCATCACCCCTCTACCATCACCCCTCTACCATCACCCCTCTACCATCACCCCTCTACCATCACCCCTCTACCATCACCCCTCTACCATCACCCCTCTACCATCACCCCTCTACCATCACCCCTCTACCATCACCCCTCTACCATCACCCCTCTACCATCACCCCTCTACCATCACCCCTCTACCATCACCCCTCTACCATCACCCCTCTACCATCACCCCTCTACCATCACCCCTCTACCATCACCCCTCTACCATCACCCCTCTACCATCACCCCTCTACCATCACCCCTCTACCATCACCCCTCTACCATCACCCCTCTACCATCACCCCTCTACCATCACCCCTCTACCATCACCCCTCTACCATCACCCCTCTACCATCACCCCTCTACCCTCACCCCTCTACCATCACCCCTCTACCATCATCCTTCAACTCTCACATCTCTACTACCCTCACCCCTCTTATCCTCTACACCCCTCATCCCTCATATACTTTCATCCTTCACTCCCTCTACTCCTCCCTCCCCTCATCCCTCCCCTCATCCCTCTATTCCCCCCTCACCCTTATAGGAGTCATTACGAGAGGAGTGATCGTCATGGACCAGTGATACAAGTTGATAATGAAGATAAAATGTCTTGATTGTTCAATACTGATACAGTAGATGATCAGTAGATGATCCCATCAGTAGATGAACAGTAGACGATCAGTAGATGATCCCATCAGTAGATGATCAGTAGATGATCAGTAGATGATCAGTAGATGATCCCATCAGTGGATGATCCCATCAGTAGATGATCCCATCAGTAGATGATCAGTAGATGATCAGTAGATGATCAGTAAATGATCAGTAGATGATCAGTAGATGATCAGTAGATGATCAGTAGATGATCAGTAGATGATCCGTTCATACTCCCCCATCTCCACCAACTCCACCAGATATTCTCCTCCACGTGTCTATAAGTTAGCAAAGTTGTACTGCAATGCACGTTGTAATATATCATTTGCCTTCTAGAAATTCATAATTAATATTGCATAATATTTCCTTCATGCTGCCATTAAACGCGTTGCCATTAAGCCCTGCAACCATTAACCAGCGTTGCCATTAGGCCATACGACCATTAACCAGCGTTGCCATTAAGCCCTGCAACCATTAACCAGCGTTGCCATTAAGCCATGCGACCATTAATCGCGTTGCCATTAAGCCATGCAACCATTAACCGCGTTGCCATTAAGCCATGCAACCATTAACCGCGTTGCCATTAAGCCATGCAACCATTAACCAGCGTTGCCATTAAGCCATGCGACCATTAACCCGCGTTGCCATTAAGCCATGCGACCATTAACCAGCGTTGCCATTAAGCCATGCGTCCATTAACCAGTGTTGCCATTAAGCCATGCGTCCATTAACCAGTGTTGCCATTAAGCCATGCGACCATTAACCAGCGTTGCCACTAAGCCATACGACCATTAACCAGCGTTGCCATTAAGCCATACGACCATTAACCAGCGCTGCCATTAAGTCATATGACCATTAACCAGCGTTGCCATTAAGCCATACGACCATTAACCAGCGTTGCCATTAAGCCATGCGACCATTAACCAGCGTTGCCATTAAGCCGTACGACCATTAACCAGCGTTGCCATTATATTGGTGTGCGATATTAAGCCATGTAGGACATATAAAGCCAATGGCATTAAGCCATGGCGACAGCATTAAGCCATGCTGCCATTAGACTATTAACCGCGTTTTCAGACTATTTATTATCATTGATATGAAGTTCCATTAACTGTAATAATGGCAGGTCCCATTAATTTACAAGACCGACTAATTGAAGTGAAGGAATTAATAATTGTTCATTAAAATAAAAATAAACATTACGTGTGTACATAATTAGGTGTTATTGTTACGTGCTTAACCTAACACTTATGAATAAAAATTATAGGTTTTATTATCGAATTAATAACTTAGGCAATAAGTCAACTTGCTTCAACTTCTGTCAATTTACATTGTTCAACTCAAACTTTCAGAAAATTAGTGTCATTTTAACTACTACTTCTCTGTTCTGATGTAGATTATTTAATAAGTTAATGAGGATATCGCGCAATAATAAGTTAATGAGGATATCGCGCAGTAATAAGTTAATGAGGATATCGTGCAGTAATAAGTTAATGAGGATATCGCGCAGTAATAAGTCTGTCTCTTATACACATCTAGATGTGTATAAGAGACAGAGTTAATGAGGATATCGTGCAGTAATAAGTTACGGAGGATATCGTGCAGTAATAAGTTAAGGAGGATATCGCGCAGTAATAAGTTAATGAGTATATCGTGCAGTAATAAGTTAATGAGGATATCGCGCAGTAATAAGTTAATGAGGATATCGCCTGTCTCTTATACACATCTAGATGTGTATAAGAGACAGGTAATAAGTTAATGAGGACATCGCGCAGTAATAAGTTAAGGAGGACATCGCGCAGTAATAAGTTAAGGAGGATATCGTGCAGTAATAAGTTAAGGAGGATATCGTGCAGTAATAAGTTAATGAGGATATCGCGCAGTAATAAGTTACGGAGGATATCGTGCAGTAATAAGTTAATGAGGATATCGCGCAGTAATAAGTCTGTCTCTTATACACATCTAGATGTGTATAAGAGACAGGTTAATGAGGATATCGCGCAGTAATAAGTTAATGAGGATATCGTGCAGTAATAAGTTAATGAAGATATCGTGCAGTAATAAGTTAATGAGGATATCGCGCAGTAATAAGTTAATGAGGATATCGCGCAGTAATAAGTTAATGAGGATATCGCGCAGTAATAACACCACACACGCGGATATTGGCCAGGATATCGCGATGCCTCGTCTCGAGTTCATAGGGATTATGAGGGATGAGGGGTGCAGGGATGAGGGTTAAGGGTAGGGGAGTGGATGAGGGGTGCAGGGATGAGGGTAGGGAATTATCTCCGTATAAATTTGAGTCTGAAGGTTAAGAAATAAAATAATAAATGAGTTTAATTAGTTAATAAAAAGAAAGAAGTGTAAATTAAGCGAGCGAACATAACTTAAATAAGGGAATTGAATATATTATGATCGCTCTATGAATGTCAGAAATTCATATAAATTGATCAGAAGAAATTGTTACATAACATAACATAACGTAACATAACATAAAATAACATAACATAACATAACGTAACGTAACGTAACATAACATAACATAACACAAAATAACATAACATAACATCTGTCTCTTATACACATCTAGATGTGTATAAGAGACAGGCCCACGGCAGCCAATATTCCTGCTCATTGACTGGCCCACGGCAGCCAATATTCCTGCTCATTGACTGGCCCGGTAAGCTGCAGTGTCATGATACACGCGAGGGGGAATGTGAAATCATACCATCTGGAAATTTATTCCTTTTCGGGATAATTTATAATCATATAATAAATTTGATTATTTATTAACATTAATTTGTTTATGACACATGTATATTTGATAAAATTTAATACGATTTAATGTAGACATAATTATCTTTAAATTTTGATTTATTATAGTTAAACTTCCACAAACTGAAATTTGTAAAAGGATTTTTTCGCAAGTAGTTAAGATTATTACTTGGTACACTCGCTTCATCTTGCATGTCAGCTGAAACTTGTTGCACTGGTTTCAATTCAACCATTTCTTATTTTGACATTTTACCAAATTCATGAATGGGCTAAAGATACGCGTGAAAATCAAATGATTCGAAAAATAAATATACTCTCGATGAGTGACCGATTTTTAAAAATTAGTTCACGAAATACTTTATTATAAAAAAAAACTTGAGAACAACGTACAGGTGATCGAGGGTCGCCCTCTTCGTGCAGGTGTCCCACCCTCGGGCTGAAGCCCTCAAGCCTCCCCTCTGTTACGTCCCCTCTTTCCCTCCGTCAGGTCGTCTGCTCGGCTTCATTCTTTTGTTCTGTCTTCACCAAATCCTTTTCGCTGAGGAACGTTTTCTATTTTTTCTTAATTTTCTTTAGCTACTCAGTGTTTTAGTTGTGAAAATCAGAAATTAAACAGAAATTTCTCAATCAAACTCCGTTACACTCCCTCGGAATTTCTACAATCCCTCACAATTTTTTCCCATCCCGCAATCTCTCATATTCCTTACAATCCCTCACACAATTCCTCCCACCACCCTCACACTCCCTCAAACTTCTAACACTCCCTTACACTCTGTACACTCCGATGAACTCCTCACTTCTTACACTCTTCCAGACCTGACCTTCCTCCACTCCACCGCCCCCACACTCTCCCCCCCCTCCACAACTTCTCCCTCCCC